TGGAGAAATTCCTCTATTGCAATGTAAATCGTACACGTGTCATCACCGCCAGCTCTTCAGACTTTTTTTTAGAATGCTACTGCCTCGAGGATCATGTGTTCTTATTTTCGACTTTAAATCAGCTCCCAACAAGATTGCCCCCAACAACCACCCACAATATATTCTGACAATGTATTGGGAACATCTTTCAATGATAATCTTAAAAATGATGGTATTATCATTAGGAGATATTCCCAATATACAGTGGGGATGCATCGTGGGATGTTGTGGGGGGCTGATTTGGTTTCCTTATTTTCCTCTCTTTAAAAAAAAGATGATTATTTGGCGATTTTCTTTAGCTCAGTTTGGAAGGAGCACAAATGCAATTATGCAGAGTACAAAACCTTATATTTTGTATTATTTTATATGTATTTGCATTATATATATTTGCATTTGTATTCTTTCCAAATTGAGCCTTAATTTTCTTTTCACTTTTTGAGTAAAATGAAAGTCAAACTTGACGAGAGGTTTGATGTGTAATGCTTGAATTCATGGTTTTAAAAACCCGATCAAACCAATTGACCTGGGAACCGATCAGTTCACCCTAAAACTATTTCTGGGCCAAAAACCATTGATTTGGCTGGTGATTGACTAACTCGGGTGATTGAACCGTTTATCTAGACAACGGTTTTTGATTCTTTTATTTTGATTATTTTTTATTTTTAAATCAAAACAAGTCATCCATTCGAACTGAATGATTAGGCCGTTTGGCCCAAAAACGATGGCCAAAACAGTTCTATATCCGGTCTGATTTTTAAAACCTTCCTCCAAAGTGTGCACCAAAGCCTTAAACCAAAGAGTAAAACAAAATCGCATCTTCACGTGTGTATTGCTCTCATAACATATTACTCTCCCAACTATATGGCTGTATATATCAACAATAGAGTTGGGATCACCTGCAAAGAAAATACTTTCTATTAATACCCTTCTAACATGATCTGACACCACACATCTCATTATGAAACTGCGACCTACCATACAATAGGAACCCACCATGTATGAGATGTGTGATATGATGGTATCATATGATGTTGGGAGGGTGTTAGATCATTTTTGTTGGTAGGTAATCTAATGCTGGACAATAATGTGATTGTCTGCTTGCGTATTAACTTTAATAATCATAATAAAACGCAAATTACTTGACTCAACTAAACCTTTTTCTACCAACTGATGGTGGCTCATGGACAGGTCTCTATCTGTGTATGTGTATATCCCCATGAAGCAACCGAACCTTTTCCAAAGTAGCGTTGTCAATTGGACCAGATTTGGTCAATCCGATCCAATCTTAGGTGAATTTATTATAGATGAACCAGGTTCGATCCAATTTGATGAATATTCTGATCATTTTGAACCAGTCTAATTCAATGCCTGGATCGTCAAATCTGTTCAAATGGTTTTAATTTATATTAATCCTAACCCAAGTCTGGTCTATTGTCACTTGTATCCTTATTTTCAATCAATAAATTAGATATTGGTTCAATCTGACCTAATACAATATAAAACCATTACGGAATACGGATGGATCAGGTCCAATGCAATCCAATAAATACCTTTGACCATTAAATTTAGACTGGTCTAATTTAATATCTTTTATTGGTTCATTCAATCCATCCAAAATGATTTTGATTTAGACAGAATTCAATCTAAAACCAGTCCATTGATACTCTCAAGTCTCAATAATATGTAACCAGTGATGTCTACCAATGTTTTACCAAAAAAAATGATCTATTAATAATAAATTATAAAATATATACAAAAATCTAACCTTTCAAAAAAGTAGTAGACATTCAAAAAGGATAGATGATAAAGGAATTTGCTACGTTCTAAAACAATAGTCATGGCGGTGCCCACCTGCTGAAACCATTCAATTAACGTTTTTTTTTTTTTTTTGTTTCATTATAATTGATTCAAGGGTTCCATTATGATAAAAAAACTTGTAACCAGTCAATTAGTATTCAAGGGAGTGGATAAATTCGAAAGAGACCTTTAGTATACAATGACTTATATTTCAGACCTTTAAAAGTGAAGGTTTCATGGAGACTGATGAACTTTTTTTTTTTTTTAATTAGGGGTGCTCACGGTTTGGGCTAATTTTTGAAATCAAACCGGGGTTACTGATTTTTGGAAAACTGGTAATTAAAACCGAACCGAAGCTAATTAGTTTGGTTTGGCTCATTGGTTTTTTATTATTTATAATATTTATTATAGAAAATATATAAATATATAATAAAAAAACTAGAAATAATCTAATATTATATTTAATAATATTATAATATATAATGCATATTTATTAATTTATAATATATAGAAAATATAATATATATAATATATATAAATATATGTATATCGATTGATTTGGTTAACTGCCGGTTTTCTATTTTGGTTAATCGAAACTGAACCGGTACCTTCGATTTTTTAAATATTGAACCAAAACCGAATCAACCGGTTTGGTTAACCGAATTTTTGGTTTGGTTTCAGTCAATTCGGTTTTTTTTCTCACCCCTATTTTTAATCCCAAGACAAGAAATTTTCCTTTCACTAATCTTACATTGTTTCGGTGCATGAAAAAAATACTTAAAATCTAGAAAGTTTATCTCACTATTTTTTATCTATTACATGCGGTATAGTATATCTTAAACCAATCAATTTAGAGTCTGTTTGATTTGCAGCCTCGGAATCAAAATACTTCGAAACTGAAATCGAAATGGTCTATTCCCATTATTTGTTTGGTTCAGACAAGAATTGGAATGAGAATTAAAATAAGCAAGAATAAGATTTCATTCCTAAGGAAGGGGCAGAGAATGGTCATTTTCTCAAATGGGGGAATGCTATTTCAGCAGGAATGGGAATGAGATTCCAATTCTGCTCAACCAAATAGTTAGAATCAAAGTAGCCCATTCTAGCTCTGATTCCAAACCCCTAAACCCATAAGTGGATAGCCCCTCGATTCGAATCCGAATCACCTGCCAATCAAACACGTTCCAACCCCCTACCAACATGATCTTACACCACACATCAGGTCCCACTTTTATGATGGGTCCCAGTCTCATGATGAAATGTACGTTATTAGATCAAATTGATAGAGGGTTGGAATACGATATCCAAGTCTTTGTTACAACAATCAGCCAGAGACCTTACCAATTAAACAATTGGCAGTTCAAACTATCAAATTTGAAACTGTATTGTCTTGGAGTTTAAAAACTTGTCAATGCATCAAATGTTGGTCTGAATCATTATAACATTCGTCCCAACCATCTAGGGTGTTGGGATAGTGGATTGGATACAGTCACACAGACCTATCAATTGGCAAATTTTTATACAAACCAAAAACTTACAAAGTGACCGTTCTTGTGCTAAAATCCGTGTTTTCTCATTCTCGTCCGTTCGTTCATGTTCACCTCTTTTCACAATAAAACTCGTGAAGGTACCGGAAATCTTGATTTTATCGATTTCGGATCTCCTGCCCACAACAATTCTGTTCACGTCTACTTATAATACACTATCCCCGTGAATCATGAATTGGGAACATTTTCCCCTGAGTAGACGTGGACAAAAGATCCAGACTCAACTTTATTTACATCTAGACCTGTTCACGGGGTGGGCTTCGGGGCCACCTTTACATTATTTCGGACTCAGACTTTATACTGACCCATTAAAATTTTAACAAAAGTCAAACCCGAGCTAGCCCATAAACAGGTTTATTTGTATCTCAATTCTCAACATATTCACATACATATTCAATAAAGATTACCTTTTTGCGATTAATTTAAAGATCAGCCGCACTAGCTACTGCTGCTTTATATATGAATCGTCGAATTCACCCCCAATTAATATTTAAATATATATTAATAAAGCCCGTGCACTCCTTCTCAAGTTCCTTTAACAAAACTCATGTATTACACTGGTCCCCTCTATTATTTACTATATATAGATTATGAAAATTGTTTTAGTTCAATTCGTTAATAATACATAACACCGTTGTTATTTTTGTTTAACCTATCCAGGCGTCACTTGTAATATTTATCATTAGTGTGGAGTAAGATGATTGATCCCACAATCCATGAAATAACTATCAATTTCAACTAATTTGCTTTACATTCTCAAGGGAGATTCACTTGTTGCATTCTGATATTCCGCTTCGTTGAAAAATCAGACATTTCATCGATGGTTAATTGCAAACTCCTAATGTCTAAGGATCCTTCACTGTTGTGTTCCTAATCAAGCAGCAGTTCACAAATTAGATAAACGTGTTTTATTTATTTCTAATCTTTTACTTGTTCTATCGGTATCCCTCTTGGTTTTCTGTTTGAAACTGTTTCTTTGGATTGTAATTCCGCGAAGGTTTCTTGATAATTTTATGCCGTCAACACTCAACACTCTGTTGATTGGCCTGTTTGCTTTCAGGAAAATAAAATTCTTGGACGAATTTGAATTAATTGAAACTGATGGCTGTATAGTAGGCCTTTTTTTTTTGTTTGCAAAAAGAAAGCAGCCTTGAATTAATTAGAAAACCATATATGTGGAGTGCGGCAATGTCATAGTGCAGTGATAAACGACCATTACATGAAAAATATGCAAAAAGGTGAGCCGTTTGGTTGTAGGTTCTATTTATAGTAGGCTTTTAAACCATATTCATGCGCAGAGGGCGTTACAATTGATTCCACGATCTATTGCATTCAGTTAATCCGATCTCACTATCATAAGAGATTTGTTAAATGATGAAAGTTAAATTCAAATGTTATAAATCATTTAATTTTTATGCCATCGTAATACATTATATATGATTAATACTTAATTTTACACACTTACTCTTTAACAAATTAAATCCAAATACATGACAGCACGTGGGTTTTAGGCTGTTAAATATGAAAATAAAATACAAAACAAAAGTGAATTTTAACTCTTTTTTTTTTTCTTATATTTAAGGCGCTCATTTTTTCGTCAAAATATTTTTTGTCCATCAGATCTCTCCATCCTTCTCTCTCTCTCTCCAAAGGTCTGCTCCTTTCCCAGATCTCTATCTTCCTGTTATTGTTTTCAATTTGATTTTCCTCGTTCGTATCTGAATTATTCAATCGTCGAAACATTTCTTTGATTGGTTTCGTGTTTGAATTGCAATTTTTGTTTAATCCGAAGATCAGTCGGATCAATTGGAGGGTTTGGGTCTGTATATATCCGATTTTGCAAATATATTAGGTTGTGTTTTTTGAATAAGAATCAGTATTACTCTTTCCACAGAAGATCAAAATTGTTTGGAGTTTCTAGGGCCAAAATTTGTCCTGAACCTCTATTATCTCACTTTAATTAGTACCGGAATCGTTTATCGATTCTATAGATTCCGGAGACTCGTGATTATATTACCTAAAGGTCCAGATCCATGGTAAATCTCTGGTTTCTAAGATTCGAGTGATTGAATCGAGCAGTTTTAGTAGGTAAATAGACCCCCGCCTCTGAATTATTTTGTGTCGGAAAATGGCCCTGTTGAGAAGAACTTTTTCAATGGTCATACAATTTTGAACTCCCCTACTGTAGCTTGCATTATAGCTATCTGTTAATTTTGAGAGGTTAATGCATTAATGGAGAAGTTACTGTTTACTGGTTCAGCATTTCTCTCTCTGGAAATATTGTCTAATGTCTCAGGTTTTCCTATATCATCAGGTTGAAGATGGGTGTGGCGCAGAAGATTTCTGACATGGATGAAGGAACGCTAGAGATTGGCATGGGTAGGTTCCTCAATCTGTTAAATTGTTTATCTTGTTTTTGGTTAATAACTCATGAAGCTCAGTTGCATATTGTATTTCACGGTTTCAATGTAGATTTAGTTGCATATGTTAGCATTTGCATGCTAGAACTTGCTACTGGTTTTTTGCATCAGCAGTTAGCATTTTTGTTCTTTGTTTTATTTTCTCTCAGCATTGGGTAATGGCCTTGATTTTTATTTTCTTTTCTGTCAATGACCTTATTTGTGAGTATTCATAGCCTCAAATAAAATAGTGAGTTTGTGTTTGTTACTTTGTTAAAGCTTAGAGAAGGCTGGCAAATTAGTAACAACCAATATGTTGGAAATTTTGAGATTGCTTTTTCAGTTGGTTATTAGATAGGATGCATCTATGCATATCATATCTTTATTTGTTTTATCTATATTATTATTTGTTAGGTTCCATGATCATAAGGGTTTGGCAGAGGTTTTAATGTTATCTGCGACCCTGACATAACCCTCCTCCTTTGAATAAGTGTTGAAGAAATGCGTATGCTGAGATGGATGAGTGGAAAAACTAGAAAGGATAGAGTCAGAAATAAGTCATTTGAAGGAGCCTAGGAGTAGCTCCAATAGGTGATAATATGAGAGAAAGTAAACTTACATGGTTTTGTCACATGTATAGAATAGCACCTACAGCACCTGTAAGAAAAAGTGAGTTGAAAGGGCTAGAAGTGCTAGGGGAAGACCAAAAAGGACATGGGCTTAAGTAGTAAGAAATGATTTAAGTGGTCATGATTTAACAATGGATCTGGCATTAAACAGAACAGAATTGCGAATTCATTCAGCCGACCCCATATATTGGGATAAGCCTTAGATGATGATGAAGGCCACTTGTTTAAGTGTTCTAAAGTTTATCTTTCATTTCCTCTTTAAATTCAAGTGTTGAGGTTTGAATGTGTTTCACAATAATAAAGAGTCCATATAGAAATCAACACCTTGATAGTTAACATTAGGAATAACTCACTAATGGTGGTTGGTTTGATTTTACCTGTATATATGGGGGTGGATAGAGTATTATGCATAATTGATTTTTGATGAGTGTAACTTGCTGTAATATGAAAAGAATTAGATAACTTTACAACCCCACCCAAAAAAAGTAGCTTTGCTCAAGACTTTGGTAATTAGGCCTTATGGTGGGGTTATATGCATTTTTAAACTCGAATTTTGCTTCTTTATGTGCACTTTGCAGAGTATAGAACTGTTTCTGGAGTTGCAGGACCATTGGTCATCTTAGACAAAGTTAAGGTAGGTTACATATACTTTTGTGTTTAGCTGCTATTCTTGGTTATGCTCTTTTCCTGGTAACATGGTATTGTAATGCCTGCATCGACTGATTTTGGATTGCTACTGCTCAACTGCTTTAGGGTCCAAAATATCAGGAGATTGTCAATATCCGTTTAGGAGATGGAACAACTCGACGTGGGCAAGTCCTAGAAGTTGATGGAGAGAAAGCTGTTGTGCAGGTTATTGATCTGTTTGCTGATATTCTTTGCTGATCTGTCCTAAAGAATTCTTCCACAATAAATTGTCTAACATGTGTTCACATGTGCACATAGTCACATTTATATTGTTGCCAAAAGAAAAGGAAGAAAAGACAAAAAATCATTGATAAGGGGTCTACTTCTATTTCTTGTTGGGATTTGAGGTCACTAATCCCCTCCCCTTAGCTTGGGATTGGTGAAATCCGTGAAAAATTATACTGTTACCACATTCCTCAGATTTTTTTTTTGCTACATTTCGTTGGTGTATTTTTTTTTTTTTTAATTTGTCCATATACTTTTCTTGTTGCCAGGTTTTTGAAGGAACATCTGGAATTGACAACAAATACACAACTGTGCAATTTACCGGGGAGGTACAGTACCTTTTTTCCTCCTAAATAGTAATTATATTAAATTTACAATGAGGAATAGATGCCCTTAGAACAGAATATATACATGTGAATAAGACTCACAAGAGTTCTGAAACAAGAATATGTACATGTGAATAAGACTTTAATGCAGGAGCTGAAGAATCAAATTTGGAATTTCCTTAAATTTTCTATAGTTTTGTATACTTGGACAGTATGGGTATTTTCGTCATTTTAACTAGTCCTGTGTGGGACCTGGGCTATAACATGTTCTTCCTCTAGTTTAGTAGGTCTTGTCTTTCAATTTTCAGTGTATTTGCATTAGTAGATAGAAAGTTATTGTGTTTCTTGATGCACAAAACAAAGAATGGCATTTTTGTAATTATGTTGAACAATATACCGGGCCACACATGTCACTGTATAAATAAATGTATTCTCTTCCTTTTGAAGCTAATGAATGAATGAACGAATGAAGATTTCTTTAGAGCAAGTTTGCTGTATGGGAGTGATTCCTACAAACCCTAGAGTGATTCTATGACCCCTTGGTGTGATTCCTTGGGATTTCTCTCTCATTTCTCTTTTTCCACCCCTTCTCCTCTCTCTCTCTCTCTCTCACACTCTCTCCCACTCTCTCATTTCTGTCTTGTGATAGTTTGTTCCAGCCCTACTGCATCAGACTTGCAACACCATTCTGATACATATAGACCCTTTTACATTGACATTTGATGGTCAAATATATCCTCTGAAGCACCTCTGAAAGTGGACTTGTTTAAGGTTTCTAAACTCTTTATGGATGGTGGCCCAACAGAGAAGAGTTCTTTGTATTTTACCAATGACAGTATACTTCTTAGCAATCATTCCTTCAAAAATCTTGCTGTTACACTTTGTCCAAACTATCCACCAGAGAGCAAGAGTTGATGAATTCTAGAGAATATCCCTTGTGTTCTATACTCTCCTACTGGCCTTAATGAGCTTAGCCTGGGAAGATTTTCCAGAATGACTTATTTCTGGTCAAACAACTGCAACAAGTGGGACCATACATTGCCATTCTCCCATCCTTTTTGCAACACATTATGTATGATCTTTGCTCTGGGAATTAGATTAAATTTTGGGAACACTTGTGGGTGGGGGATGTACCCTTGAAACTCCAATTTCCTTCATTATTCTCCTCCCGTTTCAAAGGGAAGTGTGCGGCTGATTTTTTGGTCACTTCTGAGTCAAATTTTGGGTATGGTTGGGATTTGGGTCTTAGAAGATGCCTTAGGGAGTCAGAATTTGGTTGTGGACTTAATTCAGATCTTGAATGGAGTGGTTTTGGACCCGTCAAAGAGGGACAGGAGAATGTGGACTTTATCTCCCTCTGGGGTTTTCTCTTGTGCTTCCTTTAAATCCTTGGCACTACAGACCAACATTTCTATTCAGTCTTTCCCAGTTAAGGAAATATGGGGTGAGTCAATTCCTCCAAGGATTGGAGCTTTTTGTTGGGAGGCATTCCTGGAAAGATGTAATACATGTGATTTACTCTAGAAGATTGGTGCTTGTTCCCAAGTTGGTGTACTCTCTGTAAGGCTAACGGTGAAAACTGCTACGACTTACTAATTTCTTGTCCTTTTATTGCTGATATATGGGAATGGTTTATCTCTTTATTTGATTGTAGGTGGACCCCTCCACCAGATATACGAAGCTTTTTGTTTCTTCTTTCCTTAGATGGCCTAAGAAAAGGGGTAGGGTTATGTGGAGATGTGTGAGGGCTGCTATTTGTTGGACTGAATGGGAAGAAAGGAACTCTAGGACTTTTTCTGATAAGGAAAGGAACAAAGAAGGTATCATCGATACCATTCATTCATAAAAAAAGAAGGTATCATCGAGGTAAGAAAGGAGCTCTAGGACTTTTTCTGATAAGGAAAGGAACAAAGAAGGTATCATCGATACCATTCATTCATAAAAAAAAGAAGGTATCATCGAGGTAATAATGGTTAGGGTGGCACATTGGTTGAAGTCTGTGGATATGTTTGCTGATGTCTCTACAGATATTCTGCTGAATAGCTGGCTGGAAGTGGCAAATTCTACTCCATTTTCATCAGTTGCCTATCCTTTGTGGTCCCCACCAAGCCCAGGATGCATAAAACTGAATTTTGATGGCAGTAGTGAAGGTAATCCCGGGCCCTCGGGTGATGGTGGGGTGTCAAAAGATGAGAATGGAAAGGTGATTGCATTGTTTTCAGGCCCCATTGGGAATGGTGACTCTCTCAGAGCTGAGTATGTGTCTTAATGGAAGGTTTAAGAAAAATAAAGGAGTTGAATATTCTTAGATTAATTGTTGAAGGAGACTCAAAGCTGGTTATAAGCTGGTTACAGAAGGACAATGGACTGTGAAAATATGCAAATGAGAGAAGGGAGGCTAGATGGCTAACTAGGGGGCTGGAGGTTCAGTATCAATGGGTGAAGAGGACTGCAAATGCTTTTGCAGATACATTGGCGAAACAAAGGGTGGGAAGGGAGCAGATGTTTTGGGCGGTATTGTAATCATATTTTCTATTTTCTTTTTCAGGAGAGTTGAGCTTTTTTATCTCTTCCCGAAATGCTGTAATATTATTGTCCATTAATAAAATGATTTCTGTTATTGATAAAAAAAGTGGGTCCATACTCCATATACAAACCTGCAATGGATCAACAATTGCTGGACAGATTCACTACTCTGTCCACAAAGATTGCAACTATTATGCATCTCCATGTCCATTTTCCAAGAAGTACCTTTTTTTTAAAGAAGATTGGTCAGATACTGCTCACCTCAAAGGACGCTTTGAGGGAATCCTAACCTCCTGAAGGTGAAGAGAGAATGGAGGATAACTTCTTGCTTGCCCACTACTTTCATTTCATGCTATTTGTACTATTACAAGGGAAATGCACTTTACATGCTCAATTCTCACTATGCTGACATATTCTCCTTTATAAATGTATTGAATTGGTGTACCTGGGGCTCTAGCTGGATTAGGGGCCCCGTGGGTACTGGGCTGCTCCCTCTGTTGAATTGGAGCTTGAACTGAAGCTCGGTTCTCTACTACTGGACCATAGGCCTGGGGCCCTGGGCATTATCAACCCACCCCTCCTCAAAAACAACCTTCTTCCTCAAGGTTGATGTCAGGAAAGTGTTGTTCCAGAGCTGAATAGTCCCCTGTGTAGCATCTTCCAGTGGCAAGTGTTTCCGAACTACCAAGGCCTCTTTGACTATCCCCTTCCCCAATATGACCCAATGGAAGTCGAGACTTATGGCTTTGGCTGTAGTTCTTTTGTGTCATTGAATTCCAACAGGGTTGCACTCGTTAGCGCCTTAATCCCTATGCTCCGCTTTAGCAAAGAAACATGAAAACAGAGTGGATCCAAGAGGAGGGTGGTAGGTCCAATATATAAGCTGCCTCTCCCACCCTTTTAGTGATGTGAAATGGACCAAAAAAGAGCAGAGCAAACTTTGGCCAATAGTGTTGGGCTACTGACACCTGCTTGTAAGGCTGCAACTTAAGATAGATGATATCTCCAACTTGGCAAGTTACTGGGTAGTGCTTCCAGTCGTACTGGGCCTTTATCTGGTGTTGGGACCGACTGAAATGCTTCTTCAAGGACTTCTTTTTTTTTTTTTTTTGATAGATTGCTCCTTCAAGGACTTCAATATCTGATCTCGTTGCAGAAGCTGGTTCTCCACCTTAACTACAGATGAAGAGCCTCTCTCGTAAGGCATAATGGAGGGAGGCTCCTTTCCATATAGGGCCTTGAATGGGCTTATACCAATGGAGGTGTGAGATGTGGAGTTATACTAGAATTCAGCCCAAGGGAGCTGATGGACCCATTGCTTGGGTTTTTCACCATAAAACGAAATAGGTTTTGAGGCACCTATTAATAACTTTTGACAAACCATTGGTTTGAGGGTGGTAGCTAGTTGAATGGCAGAACTTGGGACCTTGCACCCTGAAAATTCCCCCCCGGAAACAACTCATAAATGCTGGGTCCTGGTCTGTGAAGATTGATCAAGGGGTACCATGAAGACGAGTCTCTTCTTGTATGAAGAGTCTATCCACCTGAGCTGTAGCATATGGGTGGGATAAGGCTACAAAATGGCTGTACTTCGTCAATTGGTCTACCACAACCATGATAATTGATTTCTCCGCTGCCACTGGCAAGCCCTTGATGAAATCCATTGTGATATCTTCCTACACATGTTTTGGACTATGGGCTTGTTGCTCTAGTAGTTTGACAATCTATTTGATAATAAAAGGCTGCCCTAGTAGGTAATAATGCTATTTGAGAATTAGATAACACCACTGTGATCAATTTTTTATCATATGTTGATTTCTAGGGATGCAACTTGGGTGGGCTCAGGTAGGGCTTTTGTTAAAACTTGAATGGGCCTGACCTTAAATCCCGACCCAGAAACAGTGGTAAATGCTAATTTGGGTCAAACTGAGTTGCACTCCTATTGTTTTAAATTGGGCTTATGGGGATAACATTTTTCTGAAATAAGCAATGGGTTGTCTCTGTTGCATTAGGACCACACCTATCCCAGTTTTGGTGGCATTACACTCAATTACAAAGTCTTAAGAGAAGTCAAGCAGGCTCAATGTAGGGGGTGTGGAGAGGGCCTTCTTGAGATTGCCAAAGGCATTTTGGGCCTGGTCACTCCATCTAAATGCACTCTTTTTGAGTAACTGTGTCAATGGGCCTGCCATTAGCCCATAGTACTGTATAAAGTGGGGGTAGTACCCTGTAAGGCCCATGAACCCCCTAAGACTCTTGAGAGAGTTGGGCTGAGGCCAAGTAGTTACCACTACAATCTTATCCATGTCTGCTGCAACCTCCCATTGGACATGATGTGCCAAAATAATGAACCTGAGTCATACCAAAGGAAGACTTGGATGTCTTCACAACAGTGTGTGCTGCCTTAAGCTATCAAGAGCATCCTTGAGATGCTATAGGTGGGAATCCCAGTCATTGCTGTAAACCAAAATGCCATTGAATACGAAAATGAAATGACTCAAATAAGGCCAAAATATATCCTCCAAAGATTGGAAAGTAGATGGAGAATTAGTTGGCCTGAACAGCATTACTAGGAACTCATAATGGCTGTCATGAGTTTGAAATGCCATTTTGTGAACATCTTTGGAGTGGATTCTGATCTAGAGGTACCCAGCCTGAAGATCCAGTTTAGAGAATACTGTGGCTGACTTGAGCTCATCAAAGTGTTCATCTATAACTGTGATGGGAAAATCTATCCCTTATTGTTATGTGATTGAATTCTTTATAGTCCACACAAAATCTCCATGTCCCATCTTTCTTCCTGATGAGGAAAATGGGAGAGGAGATACTGCTCACCTCAAAGGGCTCTTCAGGGTAATCCTAACCTCCTGAAGATGAAGAGAGGGAGAGGAGAGAGTGAGGGTGAGAGAGAAGAGAATGGGGATAAACTTCACATGCTCACCTTCGCTTCAACAAGAGTCCCCCTTTCAGCTAGTGTTATGCATCTTCATTCTTCTTAATATAAGACATCTTTCATTGAAAAAAAAAAAGATGAAATCCTCCTTCCTCTTCTTCCTCATCCCCCTCCTCTTAAGGAGCCTTATGCTTCCTTGTGCTTGAGAGGATTATGTCTCTTACATTCTGAACTACACTTCTCACCATTAGGTAGTGGAATGCCTTGTGCCATGCCTCCACATTTTAACAGTGGAAATAAGAGGTGAGAGAGAAGAAAAAAATTGAGAAAGCCAATTATGGGACTCAAAGGGACACTTTATGCTGAAAAAGAGGAAAATTACATTATTGTCCTTAATAAGGCAGCAGCATTATACTATCAAAAAAGGAATAGAACTAGGCCCAAGGCCCACTAACCACAAACCCATAATCATCAATAAAACAAAGATAAACAAGAATGAAAGCAGCAATCTAAAGAATACAATCTTTTCTACAATAGCATCCTAAATCACCTTTGACTTGGAGTTCTCATCCAAGGGCAAGCCCAAGACCTGAGTTCTTTTGTTTTTTTTTCCTGTTTTTTTTTTCTTTTTATCATTTGTTCTTTTCCTAGTAATTAAAATATGAAGAATCTAAAAAGAATAAAGGGCATCAAATGTAATATGTGTTTTCTACAAGCATTGACTGGAAATCAAGTTGCAGTTCCAACTCCATATTGACACAAACTGCAAAAATTAGCTACTGAGCTTAAAAAGATATCATTCATATATATTTCAATTTCTAGATCTATTCAAAATATAATTATAAAAGCATACACCTCTTATTTCAATATTATTCTTATATTGCAGGTTTTGAAGACTCCTGTGTCACTGGATATGCTTGGACGGATCTTTAATGGATCAGGGAAGCCAATTGATAATGGCCCTCCCATTTTGCCTGAGGCTTACTTGGATATTTCTGGTGAGTGGAATGTGTATGATGTTGTTTTGCTGATGTGGAATTTTATTGGACAAAACCAACATCCCCTAACCATTATACCTTGAAATCTGTGCTATTGCTGCATATTATGTAATTTTTTGTTTTTCCAGGGAGTTCCATCAATCCTAGTGAGAGAACATATCCAGAAGAGATGATCCAAACAGGGATATCTACAATTGATGTCATGAATTCCATTGCTCGTGGACAGAAGATCCCTCTCTTTTCTGCGGCAGGTCTTCCTCATAATGAAATAGCTGCTCAAATTTGCCGTCAGGCTGGTCTTGTGAAGCGGCTGGAGAAGTCTGGGAATCTCATGGAGGTACCTATATTTGGTGTACCGATATTTAGACAGACTGATAAAAATCAATTAAATTGAGGAAGTATAATTCATTTAAGGAAGGTTATAGTTATTACAATTTAAGTTTTTTCTCTGTCAGTGATGACTTTTCTTATAGTCCCAATCCCACAAAATGAAAGAGGGTTGTGTCAGGTTGGTAGTGGACAATAAAACTTATGCCAAATCCTTGTGGACACAGGCTTTGAATTGTCATTTCTTATTCATGCTAGGGCATTCTTTTGAATTGACATTATACATCTTAACTTGGGGTGTGGTGAGAAATGGGGGTCCTACAATTTTAACAAAGGGTATTGAACTGAATATAGTGGGGCAGTAACACAGGATTCGTGCAACTGATGCCATATAACTAGGGCAAGGCTTTATTGAATTGTGTTGAGTTGTACTAGGTTGTTGGAAGGATGTGGTAGACAAAATTGGAACTCCCCCTGCATAGAGTAGGGGCCTTCTTTTTCTGAAAATCACTGGGCTTTCCTTTTGTGAAAGGACAAATGTATGTGAAGCCCCCTCCAACAAGTTCTAGCTCAAGGATTAGAGTGGGTGATGTGGACTTCATCTTGGAAGAACATTTCAGCTGAAGCCTGCTTCTCTTACTTTTTTTCCTGAAAGGAATGAAATGGTTTTTGGTAGTTCTAATTTATGATTGATATGGTATCCAACTGAAGAAAAATGCTATCATATGTAGCTGCTTAAGCAGCAATTGTTTTCTCCTCCATGATAGCTGTAAATACCAGGCAAACCAGTATTGGACATGATAGGTACCTGACACTATAGAAATTTATAAACTGGTATATTTTAACAAATCATACCGTAGAAAACCTGTATATATAATTTAACTAAATTTGGCAAGGCATTAATATTGAAAAATGACATGTACCTTCAAAAAACTAGATGTAAATACATGATAAAAGCATGTCATATAGGATACCTGTACCTTGATATGCTTAAGAGGTTTTAGCAAGTGGAGGGTAGCATCTCTATTTTCTATATATATGTCCATTTTGGTTTTCGTATCTAGGTTCATAGTGCCCCTTCCCTGAACAAACATTTAGAGTTATTTATATTAGTTTTACAGCCATTTATTTTTGTGCTTTGTTTTCCTGGAGGAAGAAAGTTATGCGAATCTTCTGTCTGATCAAGTGGTTCCATGAATTCAGGATGGGGAGGACAATTTTGCCATTGTGTTTGCAGCTATGGGAGTAAACATGGAGACAGCACAGTTTTTTAAACGCGATTTTGAGGAAAATGGGTCAATGGAGAGAGTTACCCTTTTCCTAAACCTGGTATTGTTGTTTATTTTATGGTTTCCAAAAAAATCTGTTTTTGTTCTATTTAAGCCAAAATATTTTGATGTTTGCCACTGTTTCTGGTATGCTTTTTGGACAGGCTAATGATCCCACAATTGAACGTATTATTACTCCTCGAATTGCTTTAACTACTGCGGAATATTTGGCTTACGAGTGTGGGAAGCATGTTCTAGTCATATTAACAGATATGAGCTCTTATGCAGATGCACTCCGTGAGGTAAACTTTCTTCTTTTAATTGGTAAACATCTTTAGGCTATATCATTTTACTGGATGTGACTATCTTAACCTAATCTTGATAAAAGCAATGCCAGTTAGTTCCTTAATATCACTTGGGCTATAACTTGGTTCTCTTATCAATATTCAAACGAGTTAAATTATGGTTGCAGAATTTTCCAGGGTCATGTTACCTTTTTGGGGCATGCTCAGAGGTGTAAAACGTGTCGGGCCCGGCACAACAGTACGCAGATTGTGCCAGGCACGACACGATTGTGCTGGCCATGCTGGGCTGGGGGTTTCAGGTCTGTGGGCCGGCAAGGCATGACACGCACAGGCGTGCTGTGCCACCCATGGCCCACGTGTCGACCCGGCCCAGCACAGCCCATATATATTTATTTAAATAATATATATAATATACAATATATTATATATATTATAATTATATAATATTGTATAGTATATAATATATTAATAAAATAAACAATCGTTTTTAATTTTATTTAATTATTGTATATATAAACAATCGTATGTATCAAAATTCATATAAAATAAAAATTTTAAGATTTTTTTTCAAATTTTTTAAATAAACCTTTCATAGTTTTGGCTTGGTCCATGGCCCGGCCTGGCCTAAGGCTCAGCCCACGGACCAGCCTGGC